ACTTTACAATATGCGTCGTGGGTTATACGCGTTCAAATGATTATGGCGTAACTATGCAAAGTAAATATTTATTTTCACTATTAATCACTAGGCATATTTATATTAAAAAAAAAAACAGCTGTTTAAAGGTCATCTGTNCAATCACTAGGCATATTTATATTTAAAAAAAAAACAGCTGTTTAAAGGCCATCTATTAGTACAAAAATATTTAAAAGTTAAAGAAGTGTTAACGTTAGGGTAAGTTTTAAACTGTTTAAAATGTAAAAATAAAAAAAATAATATTATTCCGGTGGATAGAAATATGTGTAATCGTTGAGTAGAGTAGATATGGAGTGCCTTAGAGTAGGCGTTTTGGTTTATAATTCTAGTAACTAGGGGTCGATAATTCAATTCTGGTCTCTGGAGGGTAAAAAATAGGATTTATTTTGGTCAGAGACTTTAAGGATATGATAATGTTGTTCATAAAAAAAAAAAAAACAAAAAATTAAATTTTTTTTTTGGGCTAAATATCTTTTCCATGTCACTATTTCAATTATTAGTAATGTAATACATGGATGGTCTAATAATCGATAAATAATTACACAAAAATATGTATAAATAAATATTTATTAAATCTTAACTACATTATGATCATCTACTATGGCCATATACAAACACAAAATTGTCAAAATATCAACTAATGTACATAAATCTTAGTGTGATGTTTTTGACTAACAATGAAATAAAATCTTTAAGACTAGTGTTTAATATTGTATCATTTTTGTTTCATACAGAGACAAGTTTAATTAGGACTTTTCAGGCAGTAGTTCCATGATATAACAGTAGTATCTAAATAGCGGGTTCTGGGGATCAAAGGATGTCGCCATGGTAATTAGTGTCATACGTCATCAAAAAGTAATAAATTAAGAGTGTTAATGGGTAATTAAATGGTTAATTAAGGTCAATCGTAATTGTTAAAGTTGTAAATCAAGTGTGTTATTGTTAAAATTGCGATAATAATGTGGGTTGGCGGAGGGTAGGTGGTCAGCTGACTCGGCGTTACGTCGTTGTCGGTGTGACGTATGCAGCAACGCGTGCCCCTCAATCAGGAGCATCACAGGTGTTACGTAATATAATCGCCCTTAAGGTCATCACGTCACATACAATAATGTTAAAGACTCTGCCCCTGCCTACACCCTCCCACCTAGGAGTTGTACGTCAATATATTGTGTCATCGCAACAGCCGTCGCCGTCATCGTCGTCGTCGTCGTCGTCGACGTCATCGACGGGGTATAAGCCGTAGTCGTGTAACCGCCCTGATGACGGTGTCGGTCGGAGGTGTGAAT